ACATGGCAGCCAACCACCCATCCATAACTCCAGTTGCAGGGGATCCAACACCCTTTTCTGCCATCCACAGGTAGTAGGTATGCATGTGGATGCAGTTACATGCATGCAGGCAAACACTCATACACATAAAATACAAAGAAAAAAAATTTTAAAAAGTTTGGGGCTGGAGAGATGCTCAGTGGTTAAAAACACTGTCTGCTCTTGCAGAGGATGTGGGTTCAGTTCCCACTACTACATGGCATCTAACAACCATCCCAAACTTCCTGGGGATCCAACGCCCTCTTCTGGCTTCTGAGGGCATTGCATGACATGGTGCACTTACATGCAGGCAAAATATTCATACATACAGAATTAAAATAAATTTAAAAAATTTTTATAAAGCTTAGTTATGGGTTCTGGAGAGATGGCTCATCAGTTAAGAGCACTGGCTGCTCTTGCAGAGGACCCAGGTTTTGTTCTTAGCACCCACACGATGGCTAACAACCATCTGTAACTCCAGTTCCAGGGGATTTGACACCCTCTTCTGACCTCTCCAGGCTTTGCATGACATGGGTGCACTTACATACATGCATGCATAACACTCAAACATATAAAATAATAAAAATTAAAATAAAAAAGTTTAGCTATAAAATCAGTAGCTTTTCTTTATTTTGTGTGTGTGAGAAAGAGAACGAGAGAGAGAGAGAGCGAGAGAGAGAGAGAGAGAAAAGAGAGAGCAGGCACACATATGCTATGAGCACACACATGCTATGGTGCTAGTGTGTGTTTGGGTCTCACCTTCCACCTTGGTGAGGCAGGGTGTCCTGTGTCTGCCACTATGCTATGTATTTCAAGTTAGCTGGCCCATGAGCTTCCAGATTATTCTCCTGTCTCTGCCTCTCATTTAGCTTTATCTGGGGATCAAACTCATGTTGTCAGGGTTTTGAAGCAAGTACTTTTAATCCCTGAGCCATCTCCTGGGCCCCAGAAGCCTAGTTATAAATAACATTTTTTTTAATGACAAAAATTCTGAGAGTGCTGAATCTTTCCTTTTATAGATTCTCTTAATATGCAACTTTCCTATTTTTGTAATATAGAGATTTTCACAGGTGTCTTCCACAACAGTATGTAAAGATGTCAGAATATTTAACATGATTTGATCTAGGCTGTTTGACAGAATGGGAAGTCAAAACCTTACTAATAACCTCTGATCTGTGTGACCTGGGATAAGTTATCTAACTTTGCTGATCTAAAAAGGATGAGGATGAGCTGGCAGGCTGGTGCAAGCCTGTAGTCCTAGCACTTGGGAGAGAGGCAGGAGGGTTGATGCAGGTTTCAGGCCAGCCTGGTCTACATACTGAGTTCCAGACCAGCTAGAGATACATAAGAAACTGTCTAAACAAACAAACAAACAAAAAAACCCACCATAAAACAAAAACAAAAAACAAAGGGGCTAGAGAGATAGCTCAGCAGTTAAGAGAGCACTGGCTGCTCTTGCAGAGGACCCGGGTTCAGTTCCCAGCACCCCACATTGCAGCTAAGAACCTTCCATAACTCCAGTTCCAGGAGATCTGACACCCTCTTCTGATTTCTGTGGCCACTGCACAACATAGGTGCATTTACACAGTTGCAGGCAAAACACTCATACACATAAATTTTTTTAAAAAAATTTAAATATGGGGCTGGAGAGATGGCTCAGCAGTTAAGAATGCTGGCTGTTCTTGCAGAAGACCTGGGTTCGTATCCCAGCACCAACATGGCAGCTAACAACTATCCATAACTCCAGTCCCAGGGGATTCAACAGCTTCTTCTGTCCTCCAAGGGCATTGCACGACATAGGTGCATTTACCTACATGCAGGCAATACACACATACACATAAAAATAATAAATAAAATATTTTAAAAAATTTTAAATATGAAGATGGGGGGCTGGAGAGATGACTCAGTGGTTAAGAGCACTGGCTGCTCTTGCAGAAGACCCAAGTTTGAATCCTAGAAAACACATGGTGGCTAATAACTGTCTGTAACTCTAGTTCTAGGATATATGATGCCTTTTTCTGACCTCTGAGGGCACTATACGACATGGTTCACTTACATACATGCAGGCAATACACACATACATATAAAATAAAATAAAAAATAAATAAAGTTTAAAAAAGTTTAAAAAAATTAACTTTCCTTTTAAAAATATAAAGATGGAAGATCACATTACATAGAATGCTTGGCACATGGTAGGCATTTAGAAATAATTATTTTTATCAGCTATTAATAGAAGAATGCCACATATCAATACTATAAAAATCACAGAGAATATAACTTTTCCATATTTAAGAAAAATATGTGTATGAGTGTTTTGCCTGCATGTATGTTAAGTGCACCATGTGTATGCAGTCAGTCAGTGCCTGTGGAGGGCAGAAGAGGGCATTGGATTTCCTGGAATTGGAGTTATGGATGGTAGTTAGCTGCCATGTGGGTTCTGGGAGCTGAACTCTAGTCCTCTACAAGAGCATCAAGTGCTCTTAACTGCTGAGTTATCTATCCAGTCCCACTTTTCTATTCTCTTTGAAGGCAAGGTTGCATGCATCCCAGGCTGGCCCTGACTTGACTATGTATCTTCCTTACATAAGGGAGTCAAGGCTGGCCTGGGATACATGAAACCCTGTCTCAAACAAACAAACAAACAAATCAGCAAAATGGGCTAGGGAGCTAGGCAAGATGGCTCAGTGAGTAAAGTGCCATGTGAGGACCTGAGTGCTGATTTCTAAAACCCATACAAAGCAGGAGCACATCTGTAATTCCAGTGCTCCAACAAGGAGATGGGATGCAAAGACAGAAGAATCCCTAGAGGCTCCAATGTCAGCTAGCCTGGCATATGGAGAAACAAACCACAAGAGGCCCTGTCTCAAACAAGGTGGAAGGTGAGGACTAATACCCGAGGTTGTCCTCTGACCTCAATGTGCATGCATGGACACATACACATAAAGGATAAAGAAATTAACATGTGTTGAGCACTTATGTTTTCTAGGTACTACTGTAAGTCTTTTACATGAATGGTCCCATTTAGAGTTATTTATTTATTTATTTTTACTTTATGTGTATGCATGTTTTGCCTGCATGTATATAAGTGCACCTGTGTGTGCAATGCCCACGGAGGCCAAGGGAAGGCATCAGATTCCCTGGCACTGGAGTTACAGATGGTTTTTAAAACCACCATGTGGGTGCTGGGAACTGAACCTGGGTCCTCTGCAAGAGCAGTCAGTGCTTTTTTTTTTAGTTGGCTGACAATATTTTATTTATTATTTTTATGTGTATGAGTGTTTTGCCTGCATGTACCCAAGTGCACCCATGTTGTGTAATACCTGCAGGGTCAGAAGAAAGCATCAGATTCCTCTGGAACTAGAGTTATAGATGGTTGTTAGCCGCCACGTGGGTGCTGAGAATCAAACCTGGGTCCTCTGCAAAAGCAGCCAGTGCTCTTAACCGTTGAGCCATCTCTCCAGTCCCAAATGGTCCCATGTAATCTTCCTTTTATCCCCACCTTACAGATTGAAAAACCCTGAAATTTAAGAGAGGTAAAGTAAATTGCCTAAGGTTACAAAGCCAGTAAACAGAACTCAGATTAGATAGCCCTCAAAGTACAGTGTTATATGTAGCAAATACAGTGCTTAACTGTTGATTTTTTTTTTTTTCTCATTGCAGCTGGTTTGTTTGTTAGTTTGTTTGTTTGAAGCAGGGTCTCCCTGTAGCCCCAGCTGTCCTGGAACTCACTATGTAGACCAGGCTGGCCTTGAACTCACAGAGATCCGCCTGCCTCTGCCTCCCAAGTGCTGGGACTACAGGCATGCGCCACCACGCCCGGCTTAACTGTGGATTTTTTACCTAGCATAACAGCATCATTCAGATGTATGTGAACAAGTAATCGTCAAATTTGGAAAAACATAAAAAAGCCAGACTGTTTTAAGCAATTATACTTATAAGGTGCACTGACAGAACTTAAAGCCATTGACTCTTTCTGGAAATGGACCTCAGGCATGCCAATATATTTAGCCAGTAAAATTCTAACAGAAGGGATCTTATGGAGCTGGGGAGATGGCTCGAGTTAAAAGCACTTAATGCTCTTCCAGTGGAGCCAAGTTCGGTTTCCAGCACCCACATGATGGCTAACAACTGCCTGTAACTTCAGTCCTAGGGAATCTGACGCCCTCTTCTGACATCCATAGGCACCAGGCACACAAGTGGGTGCACTTACATGCATGCAGGCAAAACACTCACACAAATTTTTTTTTAATGGATTTGGGGGGGGCTGGCTTAGGTTCTCTATGTTTGCTGTATTAAATGCGGTGCTGTATACTGTTAGGTGACTTATATAAGGGGTCTTCAAATATTACATGGAACATCTCAGATAAAACATCAAGAACAGAGGTGGCCATGGTAACCCTAGCACTTGGGGGTGGAGGCAGAAGGCTCAGGAGTTCAAAGCCAGCTTGCGCTACATATGATTTGCATCTGAAAAAACAAAGGAAAATAAAAATCCATCAAGACCATTCATTAACCAAGACCAGTCATTAAGTAAGCTCTGTCAACATTGATCTGTCAAGCAGTTAGTTGCATGGAGGGCTGGAAAACCAGCTCCAGATGTGGGTCCAGCTTGAGGGACCCATGGCTCCTTGAGGAAGCAAAGAAAGCCCAGAAATCCAGGACCTCTGGACAACTCCAAATCTAGAGGCAGGTGTGTACGCCGCGCTTAGCCTGAGTGAACTGGATGCTCCACAAGATGCCAGGGTGGGAGGCCGCGCCGCTCACCTGACACATCCTGTCCGCCCCTCTGCAGCGGGGTAACTGGAGGTGGCATGGGCCACAGCACTTCAGGATGAAGACAAGAAGGGAACTAAGACTGCCGCAGAACCAGCGGCGCCTCAGCTAGCGCAGGCTCAGTCCCTCCGGCCACAGGCAAGCCACGCAAGCGCAGTACGCCGCCTCTGGCCCCGCCAGCCCCGCCCCTCAGACTACGCCCCCAGATGTGGGCCCCACCCCCGCAGGCGCGATCCCGCTCCCGTGAGTCGAACGCCCATATCCGGGTTCCCGCCGCCGCCACCGCCGCTGCCGCCGCCGCTGCCGCCGCCTTGCTCATTCAGCCCTGTCAGGAGTGGTGTGATTCCCGACCAAGATGGCGGCTGCGGGGCGAGTCGGTTCCTTTGGTTCCTCTCCACCCGGGCTAGCCTCGACTTACGCCGGCGGGCCGCTGGCTAACGAGCTGGCGTCAGGCAGCGGCAGCTCCGCTGCGGGCGACGACGAGGACGGACAGAACCTGTGGTAATGACCGCACCCTCTCCCGGGTCCCCCGCGGGTCTTCTCCTCTCCGGGGCGGACGCCTGCGGGATCGGGAGCTGGGAGCCGGGCCGGGAGCTCCGGGCGGCGAGTCCCGTGGGCGGCCCGGCCCGGCCTCAGCCTGAGCCTTGCTCCCGTTAGGTCCTGCATCCTCAGCGAGGTCTCCACGCGCTCGCGCTCCAAGCTCCCGGCGGGGAAGAACGTGCTGCTGCTGGGTAAGCGATCCCCGCCCGGGCCGGGGTCCCGGCCGCCATCGACGCACCCATCCGCTCCCTTTGTGCGGACAGCCGGGCCGGCCGCGCCCCGCCTCCCGGCCTGCTAGCTGACAGCTGGGGGCACCAGGGGATCCCGGTCCCTCCCGGCCCGGCCCCGCCCGCCGTCTGATCCTTGCTCCTTCCTGGGATGCGGGATGACCCTGTCATCTCCCCTGGGAGGAACAGAATGAACACGCCCGAGGGATCCCCGTGGTCTGGGGTTTTACCTAGAAAATGGGGACAGTTTTCCTTTTCTAACCGAGAGTGGTTTCAGGAGAGCTCTTCCGGAGGGCTCGGTCGCAAATGTATGCCATTAATATTTAATAGGTGACTCTTTTGTATAACTGACAGAAGCCTGAGACTGAGTCGTGATCAATGTTATTTGAATCTGCACTGTGCTCTCGGGTTGCACTTGCCTTTTTAACTGTCACCTAATAACTCTGAAATTCGTAAAGGGCAGTAGAACACCTTTTTCATTTAGTTCCTTCAGCCGAATGGCTACTATAAGACTTGTCTCAGTTTTCCTCGTGGCTCTGAACCTCCCCGGTGCTCTTAGGTAGTGGGGATAGTGGACCAACGGAGAACAATTCCAGCCTCACGTTTTTGCCCGTTCATTGAGCTCCTGAATCATTTCCAGGAGAATGCCTCCCCCACCCCCCGTTTTTTTTTTTACATGCAAGATATTGGAGTTTATAACATTCTAAAACTTTGATGTGGGGTGTCTCAAGACTTTATATGCTTGATCTTAAAAAGGCTGAGAAGCTTTGCCTGAAGAGTTTTTGTTATGTGTATCTAAGAACGGAAAAGAAACAAAGAACTACCTGATGGCCACAGTTGAATCTGAATGAGGTTAGATAGGAAGAAATTACTTATTTTTCACCCACTGCAACCAATACAGAATGTATGATTCTTTGAGTTGTTTAAAGCTATGGCTGAGCTAGTTGAAAATTTCGCTTTATACTTTGCTTTTCATGTGCTTGACTTGCACTGGGGAACGTTTGGGGACACTGACAACACAGTGGGTGTTAACACCCAGGACCCAGTATATGGGTTCCAGTGGGGGGACTATGGGAGGGTGATGGTGGGGACTGGGCTGTAAAGATGGTTCAGATTGTTTGAGATATTCTGTATGAAATACAACAAAATTTAATAAAAACAAATTTATAAAAAAGCACCTTGTGCAGATGAACCTGGATCGAATAAAGGCCCCCTGTCACACACAAACTATGTGAGCTTAAGCAAGTTGCTTCATGTCTATAAACCTCAGTTTCTTTATTCTTAAAATGAATATTATAGAAATAGCAAGGCCTGCTTCCTGGGATTTGGGGGAGGGTTAAATGAGATAATGTGTGTAAAATGACAGCCAGCAGCACCAGGAACTTTGTGATGGTCTTGAATGAATTAGAAGGTGTTCCTGAGAACTCTAAACAACTGAATCTGGGCCAGCAGTTCTGTTGCTGTTGTGCCTGCTTCTCTGATTGTGGTGTACCAAGTAAACCTGTTTTTCTTTCTCTCTCTCTCTTTCTTCCTTCCTCCCCTCCCCTCCTTCCCTCCCTCCCTCCCTCC